AGAGAGAGAGAGAGAGAGAGAGAGAGAGAGAGAGAGAGAGAGAGAGAACCAAAATAATATTATAATGGCTGGTGTGGGGATGGCAGGTAATTTGTATTTCACTGATGTGTTGCTGGAGCAATTTTAAGGGCGAAATGTTAGCCTTTGAAGGGATGAAAGAAAAATGAAAACATTTATTTGGTTAAATGGCTAAGTAAATAAACTGCCTATCAGACCTTCCCAGCTGTCAAGTCAAAGTAGCATCTGTAACAATAGGAATCGTTGGGTCTGTCTCCCTTTGTAACAATAGATACTGCCATAAATAATAAGTCGCTGTCACCTTTTTAATACTGATCTCTATAGTGGGAACCCAAAGTGTATAAAGTATTGCCTGATAGATTCCTAGTGTTCAGAGAGAAAGAAAGATGAACTTCCAATGCTTTGGAAGGGTGAGCATTTGGTTTTTAGCTTTTGGTTTGTTTGTTTTTTAATGAATGAAAGAAAACAGAGGGCCAGAGTCTGAGTGAGTCTGAAAAACAAGTGGCTGTAGGCAAGCTCATGTCTCCCCTCACATGAAGAAGGGCCAGTAATTCAGTAGTGCCCTGTCCAAGTATTCCAAAGGTCCAATGATGAGTATGGAAGTACTTTAGAGTTTGGGGAGATCATTTAGTGGGCCAATGCTTGACATGATTCCTAGCACCCACATATAAAGCCAGGCATGGCAGCATGCACTTGCAATTCTAGTGCTAAGAGGGGAGAACAAAGAGGTCCCTGGGGCTGGATGGCCAGCTACTAGCCTAATCACTGAAATCCAAGTCCCAGTGAGAGACCCATCTCAGATACTAAGATGGATGGCTCAGTAAGAGTCACACCCAAGACTGATCTCTGACTTCCACACAGACCCACACATACATGTCTAGACATTCACCCACACATACATGGGAGGTAGTTTGGAAAGTCTCAAAGTAAAATACATGAATTTGGTATTATTATCACTCTTTTACATTGTTTTTTTTTTCTTTTTATTGAAGGTTGTATCTTAGGTTGGCCCCAACCTCATGCTCCTTCTGCCTTAGCCTCTGAGTTTCAGCCTTACAGTCACACACCACAAACCTTAACATCATCTCCTTTTAAAATAGAACTGAACAACAGAACCTTAGAAATACTGTATTTGTTCATTCATTCAAACCTACAGATTTTGAAAAATCTAATCTTAGGAGAATGAAGTCAAATTGAAGAGTGTTGAAGACAAAGAGATCAGATTTGAATGTACAAGTTAGAAGCAAGTCTAGCTTCAGTTTTTGAAGT